TGGAGGAGGCGTGCAGGGGCTGCGGGGGTGGGAATTTCCTCGGGGCGGCTGGCTCCCTCTGGGAGAGCTGATTTCCAGGCCGGGTGGAGTGCAGAAGGTGAATGTAACTGCAGCGCGAGGGCTAAGCCTCTCCTTTCCTTTCTGCCCCGCAGCCCTGGTGGTCCGGTTCCTCACCAAGCGCTTCATCGGCGACTACGAGAGAAACGCAGGTGAGCCAGCGCCTTGGGAGGAAGCGCTCTCCGTTTGCACCGGGGCTGCTGCTCCCCTTTTCAGCGCCGCCCAGGAGGTCCCTCGGAGTGACAGTCAGCACCAGGGTTGCCACATCCAACTCTGCCCCTTGCCCCCCTCCCTGTGCGCCCCCCCCCCCATAACTGCCATCTGGCCTCGGTCCACTCCAGGCCCATTCATCACTTTATCGAGGGCCTGAAAGTATGCCCCTTGGTATGTGTCCACCATGGGGACCCCAGTTGGAAGCACCCTTTGTTCTGAAGAGCCTCTCCCTTCAAAACACTCCTGCCAAAGTCATAAAAAAAAAATGCTGGCCAGCTCCTCCCCCACCCGTCCCTCTCTGCGGGCTGCCTTTCAGAGGTGACCTTTTAAAGCAGAGGCCAGCGGAGAGAGCCGCTGTAAACTAACGTTCTCTTTTCTTAACAAAGAGAAAGGACGGCGCGCCAGAATTTTAGGAGAGTTCCTGGATAAACGCGAGGACACTGTTTCAATCCCTGCGATTAAGACTGGCCACTGGGGAGGCTTAAGGGCTTTCAGCCTATGTTCTGTTAACAAATTGTTTCATTCCTTGGACCATCTGAAGTACCTACAGGGGATTATTTGAAATGCGCTCTATAAACCATGGCGAGATAAGGCATGACGGCCTTCTGCTTTGATGTAGAGGTGGCTGTGGTTATGTCACATTTTTATTTCAGTTGGTAATGTTGGCTCTGCGTTTGCTAACAATGTTTGCCTACCCAGCCACTGTATCTGATAGCTAGAGTATGAATATATGTCTGAGTGATAAAGTACTAAAATAAAATAGAGACCCCACACATGCGGAGCAAGGAGATACTCTAAATATGGAAGCTCTGTTTAAAACAACCCAAACCAGTTTCCAAAAATGTGCAAACTTTGCCCTGGTTTTAATAAATCAACTAATATGGGAGTTAAAATTACAGTTGTTTCAAAAAAAAAATCTAAATTAAGCCTATTAACTAGGGTAAACTATAGCTTATTTTTGTCCAGTGGCTCAGATTATATTTTCTAAGTTAAAAAAAAATCCCATAATGTTTTCAAAGTTGCACAAGAAGGATGGACATAATTTTTTTTTTCTTTTGCCTGATAGGTAATCTGTACACCAGACAAGTCCAAATAGAAGGCGAAACCCTGGCTATTCAGGTTCAAGACACTCCAGGTATTCAGGTGAGAAGCTCTGAGATGCGTGACTAGGTCGATGGGGAGGTGGCTTGACTGTCGAACTGTTCAGTTCTCCAAGTACGAAGGCGAGGAGTTTGGGGAGCCAAGTCGGGGCTTTTACATGTGTGACACTTCAGTGCTATCTGGCTGTTGGTCAGTCCTCGCCTGGCTTCATTTGGAAGACGTGGCTGAGGGGCAGAAATCGCAGGAGTCTACCCAGCAGGAAAGACCAAACCAAACACACTGGGAACAGGCGGTTTCCGACTGTGGTTAAAAAGGTCACTTTTTACATTTGTGCCTTGCCATTCAAAATCAAAATCTAGGTATAGTCTCCACATACTCGGAATCACTTTTTATTGTGGAAAGTTCCTCTATAGACAAAAGAGCCACGCTAGTGTGTGTGTGTGTGTTTCCCTCTTGAGCTGGGCAGTTATCCAGGTTTAAATGCTTCCAGCTCCTATCTTTACTTCTCCAGACTTACTGTCTAGCCAGTTAATTTCCCATTTTATGCAACTACAAAGTCTCTCTGCATGGAGTTCTCTGCAGGTCAATTTTCCACTTGAGTGTGGTGAGCTGCACTGTTATTTATTCCAGCTCCGTGCAGCTGGATCAACATATTGTCAAGAAAGCTGAAGTGTGTGGGGATATAACTTGTTTATGGCCTGCGACCTGGCATTGCTGTCAAGGGCTCCTTGAATTCTCTATCCAGCCCGGCCAGGGCTCTCTTCACTCACCTTGCCGTTCCCCCTCTCTCAGGTCCACGAGAACAGCTTGAGCGGCAATGAACAGCTGAGTAGGTGCATTCGCTGGGCCGACGCTGTGGTCATCGTTTTCTCCATCACCGACTACAAGAGCTATGAACTCATTGGCCAGCTCCACCAGCAGGTCCAGCAGCTCCACCTGGGCACCCGGTTGCCCGTGGTGGTCGTGGCCAACAAAGCTGACCTGCTCCACATCAAGCAGGTGGACCCTCAGCTTGGACTGCAGCTGGCCGGCATGCTGGGCTGCTCCTTCTACGAAGTGTCCGTCAGCGAAAACTACAACGACGTCTACAACGCTTTCCACGTCCTGTGCAAAGAAGTGAGTCACAAACAGCCACCGAGCAGCACGCCCGAGAAGCGAAGAACCTCCCTCATCCCCAGGCCCAAGTCGCCCAACATGCAGGACCTGAAGAGGAGGTTCAAGCAAGCCCTTTCTGCCAAAGTGAGGACTGTCACCTCCGTCTGAAGCAGAGGCACTGGGAATGTGGTCTTCCCAGGAAGAGAGTCTGAGGCTCTTCAGGTGCAGGAACGTTGAATGCTGGGAGTAATTCGCGGTTCCAGAAAGGGCCGAGCAGGGAGGCCCTGAGGGCCTGTGGAAAAGGAAACATTGTTCAGAGCAGGGGGGACAGAACCTGTGAGGCTTGATGCCCACCAGGCCGCTCTCTGAGTATGTGAAATGGACTCCCTGTCTTGTCCTGTGGAGGGGAAGGGGGCATAATTGCTTTGGATTTTGTCCTTAATGCCTTGTAAATGATGCTCAGTGGTAGTTTCACCAAATATATCGATGTGATTTACAGTGGGGATGAAATAGATTCAGCTCTCACGGGCTTTCCTTTTTTACTTCTTCCTTCTCTTTTCCTCCACCCGTATCCCCCAAGGAAGAATTGCTTTTCTCTGACAAGGAGGATTTGCATCTCTGGAACCCTATTCCCTATAGAATGCCTTTCTAACTGGAAGGGTACCCAGTTTCTTAGGACAAAGAGGAAAATATTCCCCATTCCCCGCCCCCCCCCCCAAAAAAAAGTGTGGAGTTTATGGGCCAAAATGTGTACCCAGACATCTCTAAGCGTATATGGCCTGGCACGGGAGGCTGCTTAGTTGAGCCTGTGATCAGTGGGTGGAGAACAAGCTCTTCAGCCCCAAACTTTGAGTGGTGTGAGACTATAATTAAAAACAACAACAACAAGACACTGTTGCATCAGGTACAGAAAGAAAATGTGTCCATTGAATTTGGTGTGATTTGTGTAAATGGCTCATGGCAATGATGTTGGGCTGCTTCCCAGGCCTGGTTGAGTCATAGCTTAAATACCAAAACACTATCTTACAGCGAGTGACAGATGCACTTTAAAGCCACCCAAGCTTTGGCTTAAATTGTAATTAATTTATTTTATGTACAATAAATTTCCTTTTAAAAGAACCGACATCTGACTTGGTCTTTATTGAGACACTCACCTTTTGTCCTTCCAAGAATTACTTAGCCTCTTGGGTATGTTGAGTTAGGCATTGTGCCTTCCAAAGGTTATGTCTTTTTAAAATATATATATATATATTTTATATTGTATTATATAACATATTATATACATATTCATATATATATATGTGAAAGCCTTTTATATTGATTTCAGAGAGGAAGGGGAGAGAGAGAGACATCAATGTTGAGAGAGAGCCATTAATCAGGAGCTATGAGGGCCTCCTGAACGCCCCCCACTGGGGATGGAGCCTGCAACCCAGGCATGTGCCCTGACCCGGAATTGAACCGTAACCACCTGGTTCATAGGTTGACACTCAACCACTGAGCCACGCCAGCTGGGTCAAGGGTTATGTCTTAAATGTCCCAACCAAAGACATGCATTCAACTGTTATTCCCACTTCACAGATGAGGAAACAGGCTTACAAACAAGTTGCATATCTTGTCA